AGTACTAGTAGTAGTAGTAGTAGTAGTAGTAGCGGTAGTAGTTGTCGTAGTAGTAATATTCAGTGTACTGGTAGTAGTAGTAGTAGTAGTAGTAGTAGTTGTAGTAGTAGTAGTATTGGTAGTAGTAGTAGTAGTAGCAGTAGTAGCAGCAGTAGTAGTAGTAGTCGCCGTCGTAGTAGTAGTCGTAGTCGTAGCCATAGTAGTAGTAGTAGTAGTAATAGTAGTAGTAGTAGTAGTAGTAGTAGTAGGAGTAACAATTGTACGAGTAGTGGGCGTAGTAATCGTAGTAGTTGTGGTAGTTGTAGCCGTAGTAGTAGGAGTGGTAGTAGTAGTAGTAGTAGTAGTAGTAGTAGTAGTAGTAGTATTAGTCGTAGTAGTAGTATTAGCAGTAGTAGTAGTAGTAGTCGTAGTAGTAGTAGTATTAATAGTAGTAGTCGTCGTAGCAGTAGTTATAGTAGTATCAGTAGAAGTAGTCGTAGCAGTAGTAGTTAGTAGTCGTAGTCGTAGTCGTAGCCGTGGTCGTCGTATTAGCCGTTGTAGTGCTAGAAGTAGTAGTAGTAGGTGTAGTAGTAGTTGTAATAGCAGTTGCAGTAGTAGTACCTGTAGTGGTAGTAGTAGTAGTAGTAGTAGTAGTAGTAGTAGTAGTAGTAGTAGTAGTAGTAGTAGAAGTAGTCGCAGTCGTAGACGTAGACGTAGTCTTAGTCGTAGTAGCAGCAAAGAGCGTGGGTGTAGTAGTAATAGTAGTAGCAGTAGTAGTGTTAGTAGTAGTAGAAATAGAAGCAGCAGTAGTAGTATACGTAGTAGTAGTAGTACTGGTGGTGTTGGTAGGAGTGCGATTTGGAGCCGTAGTAGTCGTAGTAGTAGTAGTAGTAGTAGTAGTCATAGTCGTGGCCGTAGCCGACGTAGGCGTAGGCGTAGTTGTAGTCGTAGCCGTAGCAGTAGTAGTAGTAGTAGTCGTAGTAGTAGAAGTAGTAGTAGTAGTAGTAGCAGTAGTAGTCGTAGCCGTCGTAGTAGTAGTAGTAGCAGAAGAAGTGGTAGTACTCAATGTAGTAGTGGCAGTAGTGGTAGTAGTGGTCGTTGTAGTCGTAGTAGCCGTAGTTGCCCCAGTCATAGTCGTGGTAGTAGTAGCAGCAGTAGTAGTAGTAGTCGTAGTAGTAGTAGTAGTAGTAGTAGCAGTACTCTTAGTAGTAGCAGTAGTAGTAGTAGTAGTAGAAGTCGTTGTTGTTGTAGTAGTAGTAGTAGTAGTAGAAGTAGTATTCGTCGTAGTCATAGCCGTCGAAGTAGTAGTCGTAGTCGTAGCCGTAGTAGTAGCAGTCGTAGTCGTAGCAGTAGTAGTAGTAGTAAGGGCCGAGTCCTTAGAGTAGTCGCACTCGTAGTTGTAGTCGTAGCAGTAATAGTAGTTGTAACAGTAGTAGTAGGAGGAGGAATAATAGTAGTAGTAGTAGTAGTAGGGGGTAGTAGTATCAGCTGTAGTCGAAGGAGCAGTAGTAGCCGTAGCCGTAGTAGTCGAAGTAGTCGCAGCGGTGGTGGTAGGAGAGGGAGGTTGGAATAGTAGCTTTAGTTTTAGTAGTAGTAATAGTAGTCGTAGTAGTAGTAGTAGTAGTAGTAGTAGTAGCAGTAGTAGCAGTAGTAGTAGTAGCCGTAGTGGTAGCAGTAGTAGTAGTATTAGTCGTAGTAGCACTAGTAGTAGTAGTAGTAATCGCAGTAGTAGAAGGAGTAGTAGTAGTAGTAGTAGTAGTAGTAGTAGTAGTAGTAGTGGTAGTAGTAGCCGTAGTAGCCGTAGTAGTCGTAGTGGTAGTAGTAGGAGGGGGATGTTGGAACAATTGTTTTAGTTTTAGTAGTAGTAGTCGTCGTCGTAGTTGTCGGAGTAGTAGTCGTAGTAGTAGTAGTAGTAGTAGTAGTAGTAGTAGTAGTAGTAGTAGTAGTAGTAGTAGTAGTAGTAGTAGTAGTAGTAGTAGTAGTAGTAGTAGTAGTGGTAGTAGTGGTAGTAGTAGTAGTAGTAGTAGTAGTAGTAGCAGTAGCCGTAGTAGTCGTAGTAGTCGTAGTAGTAGTACTAGTAGTACTAGTAGTAGTAGTAGTAGTAGTAGTAGTAGTCGTCGTAGTCGTAGTCGTAGTCGTAGTCGTAGTCGTAGTCGTAGTCTTATTATTATTATTAGTAGTAGTAGGAGTAGGAGTAGGAGTAGTAGTAGTAGTAGTAGTAGTAGTAGTAGTAGTAGTAGCAGTAGTAGTAGCAGTAGTAGCAGTAGCAGTAGTAGTAGTAGTAGTAGTAGTAGTAGTAGTAGTAGTAGTAGTAGTAGTAGTAGTAGTAGTGCTAGTACCCAGGGGAGGAGGGGGAGGTGGAGGAGGAGGAGTAGGATGGGGGAACACGGCTGAGGGAGGAAGAGGGGGGAAAGAGAAGAATGCAGGATTCGTACGCCACTGAGGCGGAACAAGGAAAAGAGGTTCGTGGGGTCAGCCACAAACTCCAGGGGGGGGCCTCGAAGGGGACCTTTTCTGCACCAAGGTGCGGCTTTGCCTGTCTACGCCGCGGGGCAGCGACGTGCCTTCCCCCCCAAAAAAATACTCCGACGGAAGGACCCCGCATGAGAATCCTCTGGGCGAATCTGGAAAAAACCCTCACCGTCGTCCTCGTGGTTCGTGGGGCGTCCTGGCTGTCTCTTCTGCGTATATTTCTTCTCGCCCTGGCGCGGGCCCTCCCCCCGCTCCCTACGTTGCCCCCGACCTCGCCCTCCCGCCACCTCCTCGCCTTTAGATTGCATGAGCGCGCATGTCGGTTTTCCTCGGCGCCGTCGCCGCCTCGGCCAGCACAGGCGCGTTCTCTAATGGCCACGTCGCGCAGCCGTTGGGGCAACCCCGCGGGCCAGGCTGTCGGGACAACCCCGCAAGCCGTTTGCGCGCAAGACCAAGCCGTGGAGTGGATACGTGCCGGGGGCACAGTGGATACGTGCGGGGGCACGACCCAGAGGAAACGCACAGGGGTGCGTCCCAGTGGATACGTGCCGGGAATAGCGCTTTGGGAACACGACGAACACAAAGTGGCCTACAGTTGGCGCCGGAGATTCAGAATGTGGCCCGGGAGTGGTGTTCCGGGACCACGAAAAAAACTCAAAGTGGCCTACAGTTGGCTCCGGGCATTCAAAATGTGGCCCGGGAATGGTGTTCTGGGAGCACGAAGAACACGAAGTGGCCTACAGCTGGCTCCGGGCATCCAAAATGTGGGTTGGGAATGGCGTTCTGGCAGCGCGAGAGCCCAAAAGTGGCGACAGTTAAAACAATTTGATGACCCGCTCGGATTGGTAACATGACCCGCGGGCCCCATAGGGAGGGGGCTCCCGCTTGAGATCGCTTCGCAATTCATTCACAGACGAGGCCCAAGGCGAATGAGTGAGTGAGTGAGTGAGTGACTGACTGACTGAGCGAGAGCCCAAAAGTGGCGCCAGTTACAGGAATTGAATGACCCGCTCGGATTAGTAACTTCATCCGCGGGTCCCATAGGGAGGGGGCTCCCGATTGAGACGTCCTCGCAATTCACTCACAGACGAGGCCCAAAGCGAGTGAGTGAGTGAGTGACTGACTGGTTGACTGACTGGTGATGATGACGATGATCATCACACTCTCTCACGCGCACACGCATCATCAGCATATGTGAGTTCATGAGCGTGTGAGTGAGTGAGTGCTGATGAGTCAGTGAGTGAGTGACTGAGTGAGTGACTGAGTGAGTGCATGAGTGAGTGAGTGAGCGAGCGAGTGAGTGAGTGAGTGAGTGAGCTAGTGAGTGAGTGAGTGAGTGAGCGCACGAAGACAGAAGAGGAGAGGTGGTGAGGTGAGGAGGTTCCTGCGCGGGGTGTCCAGGGAAACAAGAACCCCATTTTGGATGTGGGTAACAAAACAACTCGCCACGCTCTTCTTCTCCGAGCTCGCGGGTTTCCGCTTTCTGAGTTGGTTGCCGAGGTTTCTCCAAAAATCTGGAGACAGTCCGCCAGGCAAAGCCTGGCGGGCCCCCTGGGCCCTGGCAGCCGCAGGTAGGCTTTCGGACCTTGACAAGGTCCCCTGGAGCAAGGTCCTGTCCTGGTCCCCTGGCGAGGGGTCTAATTCTTCACGCGGCGTGGATCCCCAACGGCCCGTTCAGAAACCCTGCCCACGAGAACTGGCGGGGAACGAGACGAAGGGATACATACAGTGTAACAAGTCGGGCAAGGGAGGCCTTGGAGGGCATGTGCAGGCCATCCCTGTGGTCCGCAAGGGGGGGATGAGGGGAGGAGGAGGAGGAGGAGGAAAAGGAGGAGGAGGAGTTAAATATGAGAAGGGTGACTGGGCCGGGGAAAGTGTAGAAGAGTTGTTACCGAACGTGCGTCGTGACCGACGCCGTGTGGCCCAAGTGATTGATCGTCAACGTTCGCGCTGACCGTGTCGAATTGGCCCCGACACCCTTGAGGAAGGGCTCCCCGTTGCATTTCGATGCGGCGCCAAGGTCGAGTTGCAGCGGAAGTAGCAGATTCTCGTATTCAATTGCTGAATCCCGTCAGCAACTGCACGCCAAACACGTTATGTGGCCCTCGGCATTTCTGCCCATGGGCTCCGAGAGGGGCTCACCAAGCGAAGAGAGTGCCTTCGGCACGGGGCGAGCCCTATCTGAGGCTCTCTGGCGAGAGCCCTGTGGTGGGGAGGCACGTCCCCATTGCCACACCCAAATCGCTGAGCGCCCGCCCCTGCCCCAGACTTGAGCCACATTGAGCACGGAGGCGGCAGAGGGGGAGGAGGAAGGTGGGGAGCGGAGAGAGGAAGAGGAGGAGGAGGAGCAATAGGAGGAGGAGGAGGAGGAGGAGGAGGAGGAGGAGGAGGAGGAGGAGCAATAGGAGGAGGAGGAGGAGGAGGAGGAGGAGGAAGAAGTGGAAGGGCTAGCAGAAGGGGGGATAAAGGGAGGAGGGATGGAAGGGGGCTGAGGGAGCGAGGAAGGGAGGAGGAGGGAGGGAGGACGACGACGCTCTGGACGCCGCCAGGAGCCCACCGCCCCCGCCCCCGCCCACGGAGCCGGGCGCGCCCTACGCGATGCCCCAGGCGGCCTGCTGCCCCCCCCCGTGCGTCGTCGTCATCTTCGGCGTCGTCGTCGTCGTCGCCGAGGTCGTCGTCGGCGGCGTCGTCGTCCTTCTCGGCGTCGTCGTCGTCGTCGTCGTCGTCGTCGTCGTCGTCGTCGTCGTTTTTGTCGTCGTCGTCGATGTCGTCGTCGGCGTCGGCGTCGGCGATGTCGGCGACGGCTTCGGTGTCGGCGTCGGCGTCGGCGTCGGCGTTGGCATCGATGTCGTCGCCACCGTCGTCGTCGAGGTCGTCGAGGTCAAGGGCGAGGTCGAAGCCGGTGTCGGTGTCGTCGTCGTTGAGTTCGCGACGCCGTCTTCGTCATCGCCATCCTCCTCCCTCCTCCCATCCGCATCTTCCTCCTACAGTCGGGCCGCGGTATAGGGTCGAGGTCGGTTCAGGTAGGGTACCCACCCACCCTAATGTTCTTCGTGCTTCTTGGGAACTCATGTGCATCAATAGGGGAGGGTACCCTCATGTTCTTGAAGAAGGTTGTTGGTTTCCTGGGTCCGACTGTATATTCCTCCCCCTCTTGCTGCTTCTCATCCTCGCCCCTCAATCGCGCGCAGCAGGAGGATGAGGATAGATGGAGGATCGAAGCTCGAGATGTTTCCCAAGGCAGTGCGAAATGTTGGGGAGGTCGTCGACAGGTGCGGAGTCACGATGTCTTGGCAAGGTCGAGCCGACCCATGCTGTATAGCGGATGAAGCAGATCCACGTGTTTGCACGATGTTCTCTTCAGGGCTTCTCGTGGCCCCATCCAAGTCATGCACCATCATCTTTCTGGGCCAGACCAAGGGAGGGTTGAAGGAGGGAGTACGATCAGTGTGCATGCGGCGGGGCGCACCCCACGACGCATAATTGCTGGCAGCGCCTCCCGGCGCAAGGGAAGCAAATTGCGTGAATCCGATTCGCTCACCCGCCCCCGTCGCCTACCCCGAAGCCTCCAGCTGGACCCCGCCGCCAACCCTCCACCCCCCGCCGTTGTCCCTGTCCCTCTCTCCGTGCCCTGCTTACTGGACGGCAAGCCCCCTCGCTCTCCGACTGCCGCAGACTTTGTGCCATCGCCCGAGCCCGAACCGCAGACGAAGCGGACTGCAAAGTGGAGAGGGTTAGGTGGGGGGCGAAGGAGGCCCACCCCCCTTGCCTCGCCCGCGGACCGCCTCGCCCGGCACCGCCTCGCCCCAGCCCGCCTCGCCCCTCGACCGCACCGCTCCGCCCCAGAGCTTCGCCCCGCCCGCCCGCCTCCCCGCGGTCTAGGGCCCGCCCGCCCGACCCGTTAGGGTTTGCCCGCCCGCTCGGTTGCCTGTCATCGCGGCCGCCCGCCAGGGCCCGCCCGCTGAACCCGCTCGTCGGGGTTCGGCTGCTGCGGGCCCGGCTGCGAAGCGGTCCGCCCGCTGGCCTCTTGCAAAGAGGTCCGCCGATGACGCGGTCCTTTGGCGAGGCGGTCTCTAGTGAACCGGTCCCCCGCGACGCGGTCCCAGGCGAAGCGGTCTCGTGCTTTGGCCTCACCCCCGCACCCTTCTCTGCCCAGGCCTCCCGAGGACTGCTGAGGTACCCGGAAGCTTCTCAAGGCTTCGGAGGCTCGACCAGTGATTCTCGATCTTCGGCCCCCTCTTCCTCCACCCTCCCTCCCCCCAGCTCCCTCCATTCAACCTCTTCTCGGGTATTGCCAAAAGTGGTATTGGTCCGAGGTGCCCCTGTGTCTTCGAGCCGTTCTGAAGACCATGGAGCCCTCTGGACCTCGCGTTGCGTTGGTGGAAGCAGCCCGAGCAACGTAAGAAAAGTTTTCAATCGTGGACATCGTCGCGCAATCGGTCGTCCGCGTAAGGTTGCGCGCAAGCCGTCTATTCTCGGCGTGGCATGCGGGCGCAGGTTGCGCAGGTCACACCACAAGCATTGTAAAACACACTTCTATATCACTAAACAATTCTTAGTTCCGACATGGATACGGCCCCCCGGGTAGAGCATACTAATTCGCGGCGGCGGGATTTTTGTTTTGCAGTCTGCGAGACTCAGAGGCAGACTTGAAGAAGTGGCCGCAGGCGCTTTACAACATCGAAGCCAGCACCAATACCGACCACTACCACAGCCGGGAGCCGAGGAACATCTTAAAACAGGTCCTTGCGCAGGACTACTGTGGGCCCGACGTCTCGCCCACGACACCCTCCCCGTCGCCCTGCACGGCGCCTTAGCCGACACCCCACCCCCGCACGATCCCCGACCAGTCTTCGTTCAGCAGAATGCCCCCGCACCACCCGGGGTGGCATGCCCCCACGCATGGCCGCCTGGCGGAAACGGCCGTGTGAGATGGCCGATCGTGGCGCCCTCGGACGCAAGGCCACGGCCCAGCGCTCCGCTCCAGGCCGTCCCCCCAACCCGCGCCAAGCTTCGACACCTCCCCGCAGATCTCTCCACGCGACCAAGCAACAATCGACACCACCCCACCTGCGGGCCTCCATGTTGCGCTGCGGCCCATCGGGGGCCGTAGCGTATACCACGCAAAAAGCCCACGGCAGATATGCTGGTATACGTTAAGCTCTGTTGGGCCGTAGGTGTGGTGGTGTCGTTTCTTTTTTGGCCCCTCCACGGCTAGACGTTGGCCCCGCCCCGCCTAGCGACCTTCCCCGCGCGTCGATTCCCGGAGCGCTAACGAGGCGAAGGATGACGAGGACGAGGGCACCAAGGACGCAGCAGCTCCAACGGTGAGTCCCGCGACACCAGTCAGCAACACCGTGAGCCGCGATCGAGCAAGGCAGCCCCAGGGCGGATGCCGGCTGCGTCGGCAGCACAGCGGCGACTATGCCTATCCCCGCAACGTTTTCCACGATTCTCAATCCCCAATTCCTTCATCACGACGCCCTGCTCGGACGGCGCACAGGGCACTCTAATCAACGTTATCCCCGAGCCGCTCATCGCGCCCCTGATCTTTCCGACAACGCCCCTGACCAGCACGAATGACTCGACGCCCCATTCCATCTGCACGACGTCCCACCCCACGCCCCATCCGAGGGCCTACCATACGCCCTGCTCGACTCGTAGTCCGACGCCCGACGCCTCGCCCCATCCCGACGCCCCCCACCCCGATAACGAGCGGCAGAGGGTGCATGGTCGAGGCGGGCGGCATGATGCCCATCCCATGAAGCATTTCCTCATGGCGCCAACCCTTTATCCTGCGACTCAACACCCAACGCCCAACCCGACTCCCTGCCTGACGCCCGTCAGCGCATCACCAGGAAGATTGTTTGAAACAGGCAGTGCGGCGGTTGCGCCTAGGGTCTTCGCTCTTCGACTGGCCAGCGGAGTGGTCGGGCTACTCGGTATCAGTATGGGTGGGATTGTTCCAACGCTCACTTTTGCGGAGGCTAAGTTCTTACAATCGGTTCTGCGCCGCGACCTTTGCGCAGCATGCGCAGTGACATTGCGCGGACACCGTGACCACGACCCTTGTCCCAACCCTGGCCTTGCCATGGCCTTCCCCATCCCCACGACGCCACGTTCCATGGAAATCAAAGATCTTCTAACCCTAACCTGATAACAGAGTGAAGACGTAGCCTCACTTAGGTCTCCGGCTTTGCCTTAGGGGTGATAGATTTGGTCGGTTTGGTTCGATGCATATGCGGAAAGACCCCTATCCCTAATGTGTTTGGCCATCCTGACTCGGGTCACCTCCTAAAGGGTTAGGGGACCTTTTGCTGCGAACCGTAACTCCTGCCCAGGGCTCCAAATGGGCCACCAGGCCGTCTTCACACCATGGGCGCCCCACCCTGACCCCCCGTCCCGTGACTCGGCCGACTGCCACCTCCACGCAGCCGGCTCCGCACGACGGCCCCAGCTACCGCCGTCACATGGGCGACCCGCCACGACGACCCCAGCCGCCACCGTTTGTGCGAATGGGCGTCGTGCATGCGGCACGTTCGCAGCCTGCGATGCCCATGCTCTCGTCAGCGACGCCCCGCCCCTCCCACGACTCGCCCGACGCCTTCCCCGCTACAGCGTCCCACACCACCACTGCCTCGTCAGCCTGACCCCCAGCGATGATCTCGCGCCCCGGAGTTCCCGGAGACGGCGGTCGACCGTCGGCCGCCCTACGGCGGCCTCCGCATCAGGAGGAGGGGACTGGAGATCGGAGGAGGAGGAGGAGGAGGAGGAGGAGGAGGAGGAGGGGGGTGGAGGAGGAGGATGGAGGAGGAGGGAGGAGGAAGTACTGGGGCGGCTGTCCAGTGTTCGCGGCCGACTACCAGGTCCTGTAAGTTCCTTTCTGGGTCGTCGTTGACTTGAATGTGGACACAGGGTCTGGTCCAGCGTACAAGCCGTTGTTGCATTCGCAGGAGGAGCAGGATGAGGAGGAGGACGATGAGGAGGAGGAGGAGGAGAAGGAGGGAGACGAGAGGATCGCGATCGATCCTGCACCAACAAGAAGACTGTAAAAGGCCCCCTCCGCTGATGCAGACACACACACACACACACACACACACACACGCACGCACGCACGCACGCACGCACACACACACACACACACACACACACACACACACACACCACGCCGCAAGGCAACGGGGGTCATGCGGTTAAGAGCCCCCTTCCCCTACTCGACCAGGCCTCAGGGCATCCCGCCTAATCGACCAGGGGCAAGCGAGCCATTATCTGGATCGCTGCGCCAGGCAGCAGAGCCGCGTGGCGTTGGCTGTCTGCGTACGTCCCGAAGCTTACGCCGGAAGAAGGAGGAGGAGGAAGAGGAGGAGGAGGGAGGCGGGTCCAGGGAGGAGGAGGAGGAAGAGGATGAGGAGGGAAAAGGGTGGAAGGCAGAGAGAAAAGGAGGAGAAGGAGGAGGAAAGTAACGAGGACGAGGACGAGAGGAGGAGGAGAAGGAGGAGGAGGAGGACGAGGTGGAGGAGGTGGAGGAGGGGAGGACGAGGACGAGGAGAAGGAGTCGCAGGCCTAGAGGTTGACACCAACACCAATATCGGCGGTTTTCCTCCACTGAGGGAAATTGATCCCGATCTCGGTGATGGTGGTAATACTCTGGCTTCCAAGGTGGCCGAAATATTACCACCAACACCGAAATCTAGGCTCATCTTCCCCATGTGGAGGCAACCCCCTGTGTTGGTGTTGGTGCCAATTTCCAGGCCCCCAGAAGGAGGAGGGCAACCCCTGGCAGCTCCAAGGGGGTTCCAAGGGGGGCGGGGTGGGCCAGCTTGCCGTCGGCGCGCTCGGCGGGTGGTGGCGGAGGCGACCGGCGACCCCACCGAGGCCCGGCTTCAGGCCCGCGGGGGGGAACGGCCCGACGGCGGACGGCGGCGGCGACGAGCTCGAGATCCGGGCCTCATGGTCATTCTGTTACCTCGTTTCTTACATCTTGCTTCTCACCTTTTCCAAAATGCGCCCCCGCCTCCCCGCTGAGCTCAGCCGCGGGGAGGTGGCAGGACAGCTCTACACGGCTACAGGATCACCTTCGTCAGCCAGGAGTCAGTCATTCGGGTCCTTGCAATGCCGCTCGCGCTGGTGCGTTTCCGCCCGGTCTCGGGCCCTCGAGCTATATCACGGCTCAATGCAGGTCGGACAGGTGGAAGATGCGGGTGGGAAGTGCGGTGCACCGGGCTCCTTTGACGTTTTTTTCGCGGCGCCGTCTGGTCTCAGGGGAGGCCGACGGCGGACGGCGGCGGCGACGAATTTCAGATCCGGTCTTTCGGGCCCCCGAGCTATCACAGATCGATCCAGTCGGGTCTCAAGAGACGGGGGTCGATGCGCCGGAACCAGAGCGCCGGATCCTGCAGGATCGGCAACGCCAGGGGCGCACTGACCCGTGTCAGGGCGCAGGATGTTGCACGATCCTGCAGGATCTAGGAGGATTTTGCAAAGCCCGTTTGACCCGGATGTGGATTGACCCGGGTCAGTAGATCCCCGATCCAGGTCGGATGGATGGACGATGCAGGTGGAGGATGAGATTGCTCAGATTCTTAGCGCAGTTTTTCGCGATGCTGTCTGGTCTCGGGGGAGGCCGACGGCGGCACCGAAGCCGATCTCGCGATCAGCCCTGCGAAAGGCGCCGTGAAGGGATCGTCTCGGTTTTGTCCAAAGCATCCTGTGGTGTTGGGTCCTCCGTTTCAAGAGACGGTTCCCGCGTTCCTGCTCTCCTCTCCTCTCCTCCTCCTCCTCCGTCTCCTCCCTCCTCCCGTCACCCCCTCACTTTGGCACGCCCCTCTCACGTTTCGTGGCCCCATAGGGAGCTCCGCCGAAGGCCTTAGTGCTACCGTCCACATGCGTCCCCCACACCCATTTCGGTACACCCCCTCACGCGCTTCGTGGCCCCATAGGGAGCTCCGCCGAAGGCCCCAGTGCCACCGTCCACGTACGTCCCCCGCACCCATTTCGGCACACCCCTCACACGCTTCGTGGCCTCATAGGGAGCTCCGCCGAAGGACCCAGTGCCACCGTCCACATGCGTCCCCCACCACACCTATTTCGGCCCATTCCTCACACGTTTCGTGGCCCCATAATTAGGGAGATCCACCGATCGCCCCAGTGCCACAATCCACATGCGCCCCCCGCGCCCATTTCGGCACATCCCTCACACGCTTCGTGGCCCCATAGGGAACCCCACCGCAGGCCCCAGCGCCACTGTCCACATGCGTCCCCTGCACCGATTTCGACACCCCCTCACACGTTTCGTGGCCCCATAGGAAGGTCTACCGAAGGCCCCAGCGTCTCCCGCGCCCATTTCGGCACACTCCTCGCACGCTTCGTGGGCCCCATAGGGAGCTCCACCGAAGGTCCCAGTGCCACCGTCCACATGCGTCTTCCGCAATCATTTCGGCTCACCTTTCACACGCTTCGTGGCCCCATAGGGAGCCCCACCGAAGGCCCCAGTGCCACCGCCCGCATGCGCCCCATATACTCATGTCGGCACACCTCTCACAGGGTACGTGGCCTCATAGGGAGCTCCAGCGAAGGCCCCAGTGCCACCGCCCGCATGGTTCCCCCACACACACACCCATTTCGGCACACCACTCACACGTTGCGTGGGTCCACCAAAGGCCCCAGTGCCACCGTCCACATGCGTCCCCCGAACCAATTTCGGCACACCCTTCACAGGGTACGTGTCCCCATAGGGAGCGTCACCGAAGAAGATATTCACAATTGCGGTACGCACGACTGCAGATGGTTGGGTCCTTCGCCAGGTTAATTGTCCCTCTGTTGTCGAGCTCATGTGGCCCTCCACGGGCACGGGGGCCCACCGCAAAACGACTCAGGACGAGGTTCGGATAGCCCCGAGGGGAAGAGGCTCTCAGGATGGAGCCCCAAGGATAGGGAGGGGTCCAAGGGAGGATTTACATTGTTTGAAGTACCTTGTCCTTAGGACCCCACCTTTGAAACACCGAACAATGAGGGAGACGGCACCCTTCAGAGAGGGTAATTTGTTACCCTGGAGGGCGGGGTGAAGAGTTGGTCCTGGGGGGTGTGGGGCCTCGGGACCCAGGACCCGTTTCCCTCAGCACCCGCTCTTCTCGTGGCAAGAGAATTTCTTGGGTTTTTTTGGTGATAGCCTGTTTTCACCACCACCACCATCAGCTGGATGGGGGAAAGAGGTGGAGGGTTAGGAGGAGGAGGAGGAGGAGGAGGAGGAGGAGGAGGAGGACCCCCCCACACCTATTTATTGTGGTGGCAGTGGAAAACAAGCCCACCCTTCGGGGCTTGGGGTGGCGGCGGCGGAGGACGGCGCGCCGGTGCCTCGTTCTTGGGGAGGATTTGGAAATGGCGGAGAGTCGAGGTTCTTAGCGTCGTTCGGACGTGTGCATTTTTTCTCGACGAGGGCCATCGACAGGGCATCTACATAGGATCATCATGCGAAAAACAAGCGCACGATAGCCGAAGAGACTCCCAAGACGGCTCCACGAGCGGACCCAGACGAGGGACCCTAACGGACATGTCTAGGCGCAGAGAGGTCCCCTGGAAGCCCGAAGAGGCCCCCAAGAATCCCCCAAGACCCCCAAGAGGCCCCAAGAGATCTGCCAAGAGGTTCCACAGCGGCAGAAATTATTGAATCACTTCGCTCATTCCGCCGGCCCTGGAGCCCTCTTTAGGGCCTCTTGGGGGCCTCTTGGGGACCTGTTGGGAGTCTCTTGGGGCTCCTTGGCGGCGTCTTGGGGGCCCCCAGGGCCTCTTGGGGGGCTCTCGGGGGCCTCTTGGGGCAGGGGCGGGGGTAGTCGATTGCGCCACCCCCCCCTCGGAGGCCACGATCCTCGTGAGGGGTGTAGAAAAATTGCCCGGTCCGGCATCTCTGACCCCCACCCTCCCGGGGACCTGCCCGGGTACTTTTCGCCCGGGGACTCCTAGGGGCCGCCCCGCGCGCGCGGCAGAAATTATTGACTGCCCTTCATGTTTGAACGTTCTTGGCGTTCTCGCCCTGGCAGCTTCCCGGCGCTCCAAGACGGCCCAAGAGGCTTCCAGGATCGCCCCAACACGGCCCAAGAGGCCTCCAAGAGCGCCCACAACAACGGCCCCAGAGAGCCCCAAGACAGTCCCAGAGACCTCCAAGATGGCCGAAGAGGCTCCCAAGACGGCTCGAAGAGCAGACCCAGACGAGGGACCCGAGCGGACATTTCGAGCTCCAGGCGCAGAGAGGTTCATTGGAGGCCCCAAGAGTCCCCGAAAAGAAGCCCCCGAGAGGCCCTCAGAGACCCCCAAGAGGCCTCAAGAAACCTCCCAAGAGGCTCCACAGAGGTAGAAATTTCTGATTTTCCGTAAATGTTTGAAGGTTTGTTGGCGTTCTCGCCTTGGGGGCTTACCCGCGCGCCAACACGGCCCAAGAGGTTTCCAGGATCGCCCCAACACGGCCCAAGAGGCCTCCAAGAGCGCCCACAACAACGGCCCCAGAGAGCCCCAAGACAGTCCCAGAGGCCCCCAAGATGGCCGAAGAGGCTCCCAAGACGGCGCCAAGAGCGGGCCGGTCCCAGACGAGGAACGTTAATGGACATTTCGAGCTCCAGGCGCAGCGAGGTCCCCTGGAGTCCCCAAGAGGCCCAAAGAAGCCCCCAAGAGCCCCCCGAGAGGCCCAACGAGACTTCCCAAGAGGCTCCCAAGAGGCCCCCAAAAGGTGTCCGTACCGCCCCAGGAGGTGTCAGACATACCACCAAGAGGCCCAAAAGAAACTTCCTATCGTTTCACCAACCCTTCCTTCTTTCTTCCTTATCCTCCTTCTCCCCCCTCTGCGTCAACGACACTCAATCCTCGAACGAAAGAGAACTGCCAAGAGGCCCCCGAGAGGCCTCCCAGAAGACCCCAAGCGACTCCCAAAGAGGCGCCTTGTTCATGACCAGCTTCGTCCCAACTTGACACAAAAAGCTCTCCAGAGACCTCCTCATCCTCATCCCCCCTTATTCCTCCTCCTCGTCCTCATCCTTCACATTTTCGCCCACCACGAACACACACACACACACACACAAACATAAAGCACCAATGATGCAAGATGGGCCGGCGGAGTGAGCGAAGCGATTGGATAACACATTGATCCGTATCTATCGGGGGCGGCAAAGATGGAAGTGATGACTAGGGCGGGGGGGATATTATGACGTGGGCCATGATACTTCCCCAGCGCACATGCCGCTGGCCATGATTTGCGCTCCCCCTCTTGGACTATTTTTCCCAACCAACCTGCGTTGTTGGATCCTCGTTTTGAAGAGACGGTCCCCGCGTTCCTCCTCCTCCTCCTCCTCCTCCTCCTCCTCCTCCTCCTCCTCCTCCTCCTCCTCCTCCTCCTCCTCCTCTCCTCCTCCTCCTCCTCCTCCTCCTCCTCCTCCTCCTCCCCTCTCTCCCTCCTCCTCCCTCCTCCTCCCTCTTCTTCCCTGCGTGTCACCCACCCAGTACAGCGTTGCTTAGCCCCATAGGGAGCTCCACCGAAGGCCCCAGTGCCACCGTCCACATGCGTCCCCCCCACTCAGTACAGCGTTTCGTGGCCCCATAGGGAGCTCCACCGAAGGCCCCAGTGCCACCGTCCACATGCGTCCCCCCCCACTCAGTACAGCGCTTCGTGGCCCCATAGGGAGCTCCACCGAAGGCCCCAGTGCCACCGTCCACATGCGTCCCCCCCACTCAGTACAGCGCTTCGTGGCCCCATAGGGAGCTCCACCGAAGGCCCCAGTGCCACCGTCCACATGCGTCCCCCCCACTCAGTACAGCGTTTCGTGGCCCCATAGGGAGCTCCACCGAAGGCCCCAGTGCCACCGTCCACATGCGTCCCCCCCACTCAGTACAGCGTTTCGTGG